TCACCTTTTTATCAACTATAATATTATCGGATATCAAATATATACAGGTGTTTGCTGTGTTTTTAGATCTTGGACACGAACGCCTCAAATAACCTACCATTCCCAAGGGCAGTCCCCTGTGACCACCTTATGTTTCACTACAACACCTTGGTAGTCGCATCCGCTCGCGTGGATGCATCCACAAGCTTGTTTGAAGGATCCGTAGTCCCTGGCATACTGACTGCTAAGGCATTACAGGATGTACTGTTTGCGGGATGGCGTAACGGTGATGCAGACTGCTGTGACGAGATTATAAGTCCTTACGGCCGAATGCCTCGACCAACCCGAAAACCTCTCAATCGAAGTCGACATAACGATGCTAATCGTTTTCAATGCAATTTCCGGTCCAAGCATGAACTTATCACGAGACGCAAACACTGCAGTAAACTAGACCCGATACCAGCTGTGACTCCCTCTCAACTGTTACACGCTCGAAACCAATCCGGCAGCGGAGAAGCCGGACTTGAAGCACCAGATGAGCAGAGTATTGAGCACCTTCGATCTGGCTTACAGCAGACAAATTTCAAGCTCCAACGAGATGCAGACCGATTGCAACACGAAATTCAGTGGATTCACGGCCACTTTCCAGTCTTGAAGCTCGCCAATGTGAAGTGCTCACGTAATTTACGTCAACAGCTGTTCCGAAATGCAGTTCAACATGTTTCTACTAACTTTATGTTACGAAAGGCGTTAATGTTTTGGTACCAGAAGCTCCTCGATGCTCGACGTAAGGAGCGACTGCAGTTGAGTGCATCTCGTCAACTCATTGCAATGTTTGAGAAAGTATCATTCGATCGTGTCGTTGGGAAGTTTAGTTCATGGAGAAATTGGGTTCTGGAATGTCAAATTGAGGAAAAGATGGCTGCATCCATTACGTTACAGCGTTCCGCTAGACTGCTTCAATCCCGTCGTGAAGAACGAGAATCTGCTGAACAACAAGAAGCACTGATGAAAGCTCTCGAAGAACTAATTCGCAACGCTAAGATTATCCAACGAGCATACCGCCGACACCGACGAGCCGTTCAACAGTGTCAATATGAAGCTGCTGCAAGAAAAATCCAACACATCGAGACGCGTCGAGTTGCGTATAACGGATATATCGAGCAGCAACAAGCTGCAAGGCTCCTGCAGGGGAAGTTTCGAGCTTATATACAGAAGCGTAATCGTAAGCGAGCTATCGCAATTGCTGAGCTCTTCGATCGCAGTTGTGACAAGAGTGCACAGCGTATTCAAAATACTTGGCGTGGTTATTTATCGTGGCGATATTACGAATTACCAGTTGGCATTGTGCAATCTTTAGTCGATCACGTTGAATATCTAGGCGCCGTCCACTTGATCCAAGGGCATCTTCGTGGGTTTCAATGTCGCTATCGTAATAGGAAGAAGAACGACAGTGCCGTCCGTATCCAGAATTACTGGCGTGCTGGTAAACATCGAATGATATTAAGGAATGAAAGGCGGATAATACGTTTGCACCGAGATCTTGCAGCTTCGCGCTTGCAACGCACATACCGGCGCTCGAGAGAGGAGCGCAAGATCCGCAGTGCTCTTCATCAATCCACACGTCCGCTGTATCTCCGCGCTTGTGAATTTGGAAATAGCTTTCGGGATCATTTCCGAGTGTCAGTAGCTAAAAGCGCTTGCGTCGTGATTCAAACAACCTGGAGACGATACGTTGCCTACAAACAGGAGAAGTGTTCGAGACTCGCTGCAGCTTCGACAATCCAAAGGTTTCTAAAGCGTAGAGGGATATTATCAATGTGGCGAAATGCAGTGTTTAACGCTCATTGTCGAGATGAAGCAGCTCGGAATATCCAGCGCTGGATACGAAAACTTCGTCATCGTTTAGAATCTGTTCGGATACAACCTGTTGCGTACGCGCTAGAGCAGGTTTCTGCTGTGTCGAAAATCCAACGATGGTACAGATATTGTCACTCTGATTCATGGGGGATTCTTCTTGCTCGACTACTAGCTACTGAACTTCCACGATGTATAGAAGCTGTCAACCAAATTAAACGCTGTTGGAACGGTTATTGTGCTAGAAAAGAAGAGTGTTCGCAGCGTGCGAACACCATTGCTAGTCTCATCAAGCAGCAACAACGTGCGGAAGTTGAACATCGAGCTGCTCATTTCATTCAGCGAATGTTTAAACGTATGATCGACCGACGCGATGGCAAAGTGTTACTACACCGGTACAAAATACTTTTCCGCCGAGAGATTAAGCGAAAACAACAACGCGTTATCGTACACAAGTACTTGGAGGAGAAATCTCAACAACGTAAGAAGAAACAAGAGACTAAAACTGCCAGTCTTGCAATAAGACGAGCGTCAATAGCGACTTCGACTGAACCATCACAAGCGCTTGGTTTAGATAGCTACTCAACTGAATTGAGTGCTTTTACGCTGGATGAAACGCCAAACGAAACAACAGACAGCGGATGGGCTGACACGCAATCACCTCAGATCGATAGCCCTGTCCAATACTGGAGCGAAGAGTATCAGCGAGCTTACCTTTATGATCCAGTTACTGGAATATCGACATGGCTGTGAAAACAAAGATCGATGACAGCTTTCTAAAAAAAAATTCAAATAAAATTTATGAACTCAAGCTAAAAAAACTGAATTGAAGGAAGTTACCCGACTTTTAGAACACTGTGATCACCTGGAATGGCAGCTTTACGGATTCTCGCGATATTTCAGCATGGCAGCGTCAACTTCTGCCCAAACGGGCGAGTTCGGCGTCACAGGGCGAGCCGTTGAGTGACCATTTTGCATTTCTTGCCGCTGGACATCACTCCGACCCAATTTCCCGTCTGAAGACTCACTACTGGGCCTCCAGCTCTCATCAGCGGTTTGTGCCTCGCATCATAGTCGTGGTAAATGCCAATTGTGATCCAGTCGGCGTCGAGCGGGACGATCATGTTGCAGACTCGACTAGTGACCACCATGGGTTCTGGCTTCTCACGCGGTGAGCGGCATTTATACCCAATCAATGTCACAGTCAGCACACTGCAGAGCTTCCTCTGGTTGCAGATACGAGGCATCTTCAAGTCCGCGCATCTTAAGCAGTGACAAGTCTAGGTCTTCGAAGTCCTCAGTGCGCTCCACCTCGTAGTCTTTATCGTTGTAGACAACCTGGCAGCAGTTGGCGACCCAAAGTGGCCTCGGCAAGCGTGAAGAGCTGTGAGGACGAAGTAGTCGAACGAGATGAGGAATCCCGTGCATTCTCCACTTTTGCCCGCAAAGCTTTAATAATTTCCAACACAGTGTACTTGAGTAAGAGTGTTTTATTTATTTTTATTTTAGCTATCCGTGTACTTCATTTGTCGGTCCACTGAAAGCCTCTACTTGTTCGCAAGCGAAGCCAATACAAGGTAAGCTTACTGTTGTGCGTGTGCAGGTTGCACCAAGGCAAATTCTGAGATTAGTTAATCCGCTTGCAGTTGAGGACCTGCAAAAGTGGCTACGGGTGTGCTTTAGTCTGTGGATCGCTTTCATGTACCTTTGAAATTCCAGGATGTTTTTAATGCGCAAAAAGCGCTTTTTGCAACTCAATTAAGACGTGGGCGTTTTGCTTGAGCACAAATTAGTGTCTGATTATTAGTAAGGTTCAATCCAAATACAAGGGATCTACGAGCCATGATGGAGAGATGAAAGCTCATCGCTAGTGGTCTTTAACGTAAAGTTTAAGCTAACCTTGACGTCGCGGTTGACTGGCCATTTTTTTTTTTGTTTTGCTAGTGTGTTGCGAAGAATGCTGGAATCGGCAGATGTACTCGGTGTTCAACCGTCCAAAAACCGAATGTGTGTTGAAGCAGACCAAACCAGATAAACAGTTCGATAGAAAGACTGCTGGTGCCAGCTCGACCGTATCCACTCAACGCCTCTTGAAGATTTCCGTGCAGATTTGCCTTCAGATTCGGTGGTCCACACACGTTGAACTCCTGTGAACTATGCGCATAGTCGTGCGGAATGTGATGAGGCATTTGTCGTCGACTGCGCGGCACGTGCCTCTGGCCGATAACCGAGCCAGGCCAGCCAAACAGCCAGCCAGCAGCACGAGGCCAGTAACCCCATGTGATCGATTCCTCTCTCGATTTGCTCGTTGCTGCTTTGACTGCCATTTTGGCGTCCGCATCGCCAGCTTTTTTTTTTCTGCTTGGAGTGCAATGCGCCGACGTCACGGCTCTGGATTGAAGTCGGCATAGACGATACTGTAAAATGGTGCTTGGGCTACTTCAAGGAGTCAGAATCTAAAGTTCGGACACAAGCTGGTGCTTGGAAACGCAAGCGAAATTATATTGCCAGGCAACATGCGCTTCGTGCGAATACTCGCCGTCAATAAGCGCGCGTGTGGCCACCAGAGCCCAATGCCAAGGCGAAGGTAAAGCTGCATGCACGATAGCTTGATGTTGTTGCTTGAGCTGTCACAAGCTAAGGCAACTTGGTGATTCGCAAACAGCTTTTGCAGTGCAAGTTGCACTTCCGTTTAAACCAGCGAAAAACGCAAGCAGCAGGCATGTCCCGTCGTGTGTGACGGTCGCTTACGTCGACAGGCGCCGTCGTGCGGTGATCGGAAGCACCGAGAGCACCGTCGGGGAAGTGCAAGGGTGTGGCGAGTTGCAACGGCAAGGCAACAGCTTTTGGCAACGCATCAATGGTGGCAAATGAATGAAAGGAAAATGATGTTCTTGTTGTAGATTGATATTGAATAAATACGTCAAAAATACTACCATGTACATGTGCACGTGTCCATCCAAAACTGACGGATAAATAAGCTCGTGAGGATCGACGTCGCCTTACTTCTTCATCTTGCCACCGTGGCTCCAGCAGTAGCCGCCGGACTTGGGGCCTTTGTTGCAGCCCTCGAGCTTGCACAGACGCTTGCCACCATGGCTCCAGCACACGCCATTCTTGCGAGACGCGTTGAGGCATCCCTCGACGGTGCAGCGCTTGCCTCCTCCGTGACTGATGCACAGTCCGAGGCTCACTGCATGTTTAGTGCAGCCCGCCTCGGAGCAACGAAGGCCGCCACCATGGGCGATGCAAAAGCCTCCAGCCTTGGCGCGTTTGTTGCAGCTAGCCATGCCACACAGCTTCGCGTTGCTAGTGCGCTTAGAAGGCAGGCTCTTGCGGGCTTGTTGTTCGTTCAGTTGGCTGACAGCGGCATCAGCCAACAAACTGTTGAGCTCCAGCTCGGGTTGGCGAGGTGACGCTGTCTTGGTGTCCTGGAGCTGCTTGTAGAGGTCCATGCAGTGCTTCTGCACAGGACTGAGACTCTCGGGGCTGGCATCGCGGTTGATCATGACGCCAATGGACGGCAGACGCGCAAGGTTCTTCTCCTTGAGAGGAGACACCTGCGAGCTGAGCACGTCGCTCATTCCAACGAGACGCGGTGACCACTCCGAGTTGGCCGTGGAGGCTGTGGCAGCGAACAGACTCGGTAGACGCACAAGGTTGTGGCTGGCTTCAGTCGCAGGCGACGGTGGCTGTTTCCACATGTCGAGTTGCAGGTCCAGCGGTGCGAGGATGGTTTCCATGACTGAAAGTTGATGTGGAGAGCGAGAAAACGGAAATGGCAGGTTTGTTGCGGACAAAGGTCAAATTCAATTGTGGGCGTATGTCGCTTCGGCTTTGGTGGCGCACGGCGTCTTCGAGTGCGGATTTTGAAGTGGCGGCCGACTGTCGCGCTTGTGGCAAGTGCCAGAGACGCAGTGTCCACTCGCTGATCACGTACAGGCTCTTGCCAAGTTCAACCTTGCGCCTCCAAGCGGAAATCGGGGAACCGCCGAAAACGGCGCATAAAGCTGTCAACAGATGAGTGAAGTTCTGGATGAAGGAAGAACCGTTCTCAGCACCATTCTCGAGCGGTCACTGGATCCTAATTTCTCTCTAGCGTTACATGAACATACACTTGCTGGGACTGCGCGGCGGAACTTGTTTTTTTTGCTAGGATTCTTTTTCGGAAGGGCGTTGAAGTTGTTGGAAGTTTGCCGCAAGAGGCCGTTTTCTCTATTCACGTTTAGTGCTTAGTGCAACTAGCTCGGGGGACGCGGCTGTCGAAATTCCCGTCTCTTGAGAGTTCCATCGTCGAAGACGCAAGCAAGGTGTCGTTGGCGACGGTGTCACTCAGCGGATTGCAGGCACTCCCAAGTCTCTGCGTCTTTGAAGTTCAATGGCGCGCTGGCTTCATCAAATGAGGCTCTGTGGCAGTACTACGTGAGTCGCCATTGCAAATTCAGCGCTCTATGCCCGTGTACAGACACTGAGCGAAGTCGCTTGCGCTAGATCTGGCCTAGTTCAACCCATCGGCACCTCAAAAATACAGTGTCCGTGAATGAATTAGCAAAATATGGTCAAAGTTAGCACCTAAATCGTAGACGGTTGCGGATAAAGCAAGCTTCAAGTGCGACGAGCGCCGCCATCTTTCGACGATGGAAGAGCACCAGCTGCTGCATTGCAGCACTTGCAGTGTAGTGCCGAGCCGGCCCTGATAACGTCCACGCTCTGCAAGCACCAGCGCGGATTTCCGAGGGTGGCGAAGCCGGCGCCCAAGCATTGCACTTGTGCTGCTTGGTTGCCAGCCCGTGACGAGGCCGACGCGACAGTCGCCGAACGCGTTCCATCTGTTTTCTTTCGCCGCGAGTTCAACGTCCTTTCACGACCACACGTTACGGTCACTCTCCGCCAAGCAGCATTTTCGTCAACATGTCGGAATGATGTTCTCTCTGTGTATGGCGAATTTCATGGCTCAAATGACCAGGCCACGAGGACGACGCTGCATATTGAGAAGATGCTGACAGAGATCCTCTATCAGCAGCGGAAATGCAGGTTGACAAACGCCGCCTGTCTTGCGTTTCAAGCTTGTTGGGCGAAGTGGCAAGTTCCACGAGGTTCCGACGAGAAAGTTGCCCGTTGAAGGGTTTTGCGATACTGTATCAGGATGCATAAAGTTGTACTTCTACTAGTATTGTGGTGCTTCCCGTTGCGGTTGTCGTCGCGCTGATTGATGGTGCAATTACACGTCCCTCGCAGCCTTGTCGTAGTATGACTCGTAATGCGCTTGTAAAACGGTGGCCATCGCCTCGAACCAATTTTACTTTCGATACTTCGAAGTGCCATGGTTACCAGCTCGCTTAACCATTTTGTCCTCGAAACATCTCTTGTCAAGAGGACAAGTGTTCACAGTGCATGGTTCGCATTCCTAGAGTGCTCCGTCTTCGGTGGTAAGCCAGACATGGACATCATAGCAAATCACCGTCGTAAGCTCCACCATGAAGTCCCGTGTCGGGTGCAACTCGAGTCACCAGGCCCACAACACGGGGGAAATCAAAGGTAACTCGAGCTTCCATTGACCTGGTCAAATTGACCGCCAGTGGCTTGCTGTACATCGTCGCCCCTCCAACCCCCCCCCCCCCCAAAAAAAAAAAAAAAACTTCTGTAGAAATTCGTACTTAACGATAGTCGATCTTTTTCAGACGCGTATCTTCCATTTTGACAAGCATGAGGCGTCGCAAAGAGCACCGCACAGCCATCCACAGTGTTCCAGCAACTAGCAACTCGGTCCATAAGCCAGTCGGCAACGTTATCACACCAACTCGGTATGCTCTGTCAACTGGCGATGCGGCTGTTTTGTTGGTGCTTGCAGCGGGGACTCTGCTCGTCTACACTATGACACTTTACCCGTCGATCGCTGGGGGTGACAGCGGGGAGCTCGTGGCCGAGTCCTGCCATTTGGGTATTTCGCATCCTCCCGGTTATCCTCTCTTCAATATGATCGTCCACCTCTTCACACAGTACTTGCCGCTCGGCGACACCCCAGCATGGCGAGCCAACTTTTTCTCGGCTGGTCCGTAGAACTTCTTTGATACCGGTATTATAAATTCGCAGACTATTTCTAATGCTTACTTGCGGTTGGTACAGTTTGCGACACAGTGACGGTGTCGTTTATTTATCTTAGTTTGTTGCATTGGATGGCGCTAACTGGGTGGACTGGACGACGTGTTGCGGCTTTCACTGCTGCTGTACGCCACATTTTCTTAAGCTTTTCTTTAAATTGGTGGAATTTCTTATTTAAAATTAAATTTGATATTGTATTGTAGGCTCTGTTTGGGTTCTCACCGCTCATCTGGACGTACGCGGTGGGGGCTGAAGTTTTTGCACTGAATAACGCTTTTGCAGCAGTGTTGGTGTTTTTATTGATGCAGTACGCACGTCGTGGAGATTTTAAGTCGGCATTGACAGGGGCGTTTACTTGTGGTCTGGGAATGTGTAACCAGCACACGATCATATTATTCGAACTGCCCATCATTGCGTGGGTGTTGTGGTCTAGAAGACGATCGCTGTGGTGGAAGGAGGTTGCACACTTTACAGGCGCTTTTGCTCTTGGATTGACGCCGTACATTTACATGCCGATCACGGCAAATTGGAACCCTCAGCCAGGATCTTGGGGAGATGTTTCGACATTAAGCGGTTTAATTCACCATATCCGTCGAGCGGACTATGGCACATTCCGGTTATATGCGAGCGATGAGGCCAACGAAGATCTATGGACGCGGCTGTATCTGTACGGAGTTGACTTAACAAACCGAGAAATTCCGTTCCAGCTTGCATTCCCCATTATTGGACTGGGTATGCTTCAAACTCTCCGTGTTAGTACAAACATGAACCGTCAACTCGGTGGGTTCATGATAGCTATGTACACTTTCTACATGATCGTTTTCCATTCTTTGGCCAATCTTCCGATCAGTGAAGGGCTCATTTATGGGGTTCAAATGCGCTTCTGGCAACAACCAAATGTGGTCATATTCATCTGGTTCGGTGTTGGACTTGGATATATCGTGAATTTAGTCGCACAAGTAATTGGAGGCACTTCGAGAGTGATGAAGACTGCGAGTTCTATGATTCTTCATATCGCGTGTTTGGCACTGGTAGGTGCTCAGATTTGGCGTTGGTACGAACTGTGTGATCAGAATCAAGCATTTTACATCAGAAACTACGCTCATGCACTACTAGACCCGCTACCACCAAACGCTATACTCTTCGTGAATTTTGATCTACAGTGGACTTCATTGCGATATCTGCAGCGCTGTGAACTTAGACGCCCAGATGTCACTGTTCTCAATCTTTCAATGATGACTTACAAATGGTTTGCTACAAAACATGATCATTATCCGAATCTTCAATTTCCAGGATCAAGACTTGTTCCATTCGGCTCAGTGGTAAGAGAACTGCACTGTCTGTAAGATATTTCTGATAACTTTTAACATGTTTATTGTCTTTAGAGCGACGGCTTTAGCATGACCCAGCTGTTAGACACGAATATTGTACAAACATTTTCAGAGAAGCAGTTACGCTTCTTCTTGGGTGGGAAACTGAGCTACAATGACCAGGACTTTATCGAGAAGTACACTCTTGTGCCGTATGGACTACTTGACGAGTTCCAGAGCTTGACAACCCCGTCTCCATCTCTGAAAAACTGGTATTCATCGCAACAAAAAGTCAAGAGGATGATACGCGAGCGCCTATCGACGCTTCCTCCTGAGAAAATTTACAATGATGAAACCTGGGAATGGACAATTGTAAGTTTTGGTCTAATGATCTTGTGGTACTGTTACTAACTTGTGCATATAGGCTCGAGATTACGGAATGAAAGAGCTCAACTGGGCGACGTATTTGCTGGAGAGAACCATCGCGGAGGACCCTGAAAATCTAACATTGTTGAGCGAAGCTGCTAAGCCTATGGAGTTGTCGTACCAATTGGAGCCGTCAGAATTCTGGAACGCAGCGTCTAACTTGAAAAATTTAGGACTCGCGTATGCTCAAATGGTCAAGTCCAGCCATGAGTTCACTACCTCAACCGATCCATTCTTCAATGAAGTTGTGGGTGCAGGCGTGGAAGACTCGAGGTATCAGTGGACTCTTCTGTTTGAGTTATGTAAGTAATCTAAAGAAAATGTTATGATGTACAGGTTTAAAGATCGAGCTTCGGCTCGAATGCTGGAAGTATGGAATTCATGGCTTCAAGTACCTGAAGCCAAGCTAGACCAAGGATACGAAGCAATTAGAAGCATCGTCCGCAAGTTTGTTCCGGAAGAAAAGAAACTTGAAAAATCTAGTAAGCGGCGTAAGAAAAAATCCCCAAAGAAGAGGGTTTCTACGAAGACTGGCAAGAAGTAGCTAATTCGGACAAAGTATACCACATACCACCTGGCTTTGGATAGTTACTGGTATAGCTTGATCAACTCGTCCGAAACTGCAGATGGAGTGAGCACACCCAGATCTGTGAACATCAATGCGATGTATCCAGGCGGAGTGTAATCGAAGAAGGGGCTTGCAAACGACACGTTCCTCATCGTCTCGTCAGTAGGCTCTCCACCAGCAAGATCACCAGAGATCGCAGCCATCTGCTTCTGCGGGACGTCACGCTGCGTTAATGGATACAGTCGAGCGAACTTGTAGCTCTCCGCTGCCACGTAAAACTGCTTGTTCAGGGCCTGTGCGATCACAGCAATCGAGTACGTGCCGATCTAAAACAATAATATTAGCAATACGTTTCCATCATCAGACACAGAAAATAAATTACTTACCGAGTTGACAATACCGCCGTTTTCCACCACTCCCTCAGCTCCAACAATCACAATGTCCATTTGCTCCATGTAGTACGCCACAGCCGAATCGAGAATCACCGTCGTAGGGATACCTGCCTTCGCCAGTTCCTCCGCCGTACTCACTCTGCAAAGATAAAGATATTAATAAAACAAGTTATCCTACAGAAATACAAATTACGACCTACCCGGAAGCATTGCTTCGTCCTTCCGTCACAAAAACCGAAAAGTTCTTGGTCTTGGCAGCTTCACGCAGCAATGCAATCACCACACGCGACTTGCCGTGCGTTAAAACTTTCTGCAAATAAGGTAAAAACGACGTCAGATATGAACTTTCCGCGTTTGTTATATTTTGCAATCCATCCGTACCATGCCGTCCCGGATGAAATTGTGGCCCACGTCACTGATGCGCTTGCGACTGGATAGCGATGTCTCGGCGAATAGTTTACCCCGGTCAATCAACTGCGAGCGGCATAGATCGAAGTCGTCGAACTCGAGGAAGCAGCGCGTCACGTAACGTAAGAACAGCTGGCAGCCGGCAGTCGTAGCGATCGAGTTGTGGAAGCGCGTGGCCGATGCCTTGTCGTCCGCGGCCTGGAAGACACGCAACTGCTGCGCCGCCTCCTGTAGCTCGCCTTCCATCTGCATCATGGTACTGGCCTCGCTGCGGGTAATAACACCCGTCAGTGCCTTGATAACTGCCACGGCCACTGCCACATCTGGGTCCTCCAGGTAGCGCAAGAAGTCCGTCACCACCTGTGGCTCCGCCATTTTTGAGTTTGGATTTGGTTCGGCCAACCGATTTTTTACTTATGGAAAAATGGTGTTTCTAACATAAAGAAAGAGCCCCGTAGCAAATCTAGAACGTCCAAAATACTCTTTCTCAAATTCAAAAGAATAAACCTGAAAGAAGGATACCCCTTCCCCCCCCCCTCCTTTCAGACACCAAGTCAAACGAGTGAAAAAAAAAAGACAGCAGTTTAGAACACAAAATGGCTCCGGAAATGGATCCAATTTCATGGCTGCTCAGTGAGCCTTAAGATATAGTCTCGCTTCTGAAGGGAAGACACACAAACTTCAAAATAGTTTTTATACCTGCTTGAAGCGGTTGAAGCTGCAAAACTAACCCAGTGGAGTGATAGGACAGACGGGTAGCTTCAAGTCGCGTCTGATATGTTTTCAAAAGACTTATACAGGAAAAAAAAATAGAAGACCACTTTACCAACACCTTTTTGTGTGTGTGTGTGTGTGTTTTAGCTAAACTAAGCTGCTGTTTATTTTAGACTCTCATCCTTTGTTGATGTGTTTTCATGATATCCGCGCATTATTGCCTGTACCCTATCGGCCCAACTAACTGGTACACTCCGCGACAAGATATATCACCCACCCGTATTTTAGTCCGTAACTCGCTGAGTTTTACGAGTTATCTGTTGAGATTTCGACAGGCTGCTTTTCCTAGTTATAGACGACCGAGGTTTGTGCTAACGCCTGCGATTTCGCAGAGCGAGGTGAAGCTCACATACAGTTTTCCTTCGGCAACGTCGCGACAGGTTAGATCACCCAGCTATAGCATACAAAATTCAAGTCAAAAAGAATGATGGTAACTTCAATAGTGTGTCTTGTGACCGTTTTTAGCTAGGACTTCCACGCATCTGCGTGGCATCGACTCAACCAGAGACACTAGCAGAGCTTGAGGAATGTTATCCCACGCGTCAAACAGCACTACCTTTAAATCTTGCACGCTGTCAAATTGTCTGCCATTCGCATACACCCTTCTACTTAGAATTGACCACAAGTTCTCAATCGGATTGAGATCCGGAGACTTGGAGGGCCAACTTAGCACTTGAATTTCTTGCTCAGAAAAAAACTCCATCGTTTGCTTAGACACGTGAATACTAGCGTTGTCCTGTTGGTAGATAAAATCCATACCATAGTTCGCATGAGCAAAGGGAAGGAGAAACTCAGAGACCGTATAAATATAGTCCTCTGAGTTCTGCCTTCCCGTTAGAACAACGAGAGGCGTCTTACCATGGGCGCTAAAGGCTGCCCAAACCATGAGGGAGCCGCCACCAGCCTGACGGCGCTTCGTGTCGCGCGGTGCTTTGCGGAGATCCCGCCAATAGTGCTGAAAGCCGTCGGGTCCGTCCAGGTTCCACTTCTTTTCATCTGAAAAGATGATGGAGTCCCAGACAGACCCGGCGTCTTTTCGCACCAGCATCGTGCTGGCCCAGTCCTTGCGCGCCTTCATGTCCTTGGGCGTGAGCGGCAGCGTGTTTACCATCTTGGTGTACACCAACCAGTCCACCTTAGCTAAGGTGCGCTGGATGGTGCGCATCGAGACGGGAAAGTTGAGGTCGGCCTTGAGCTGTGCGGCCGAGGAATCGCCTCTGGAGGCGGCGCGGACGAGACGACGGGTGTCCCGGTCCGACAATGCTGGTGGTGGCCCCGGACGGGCGGGGTCGGCGCGAGGCTGGGCGGGCGCGGTGATTCGCCGGACCGTGTGAGTGCAGCGTCCTGTCTTCTGGGCAACGACACGAGTGCTGAGCCCGCCTTCTCTCAGCCCCTCGATTCTGCCCTTCTCGTGCTGTGACAGCCGAGGCTTTTTGGTCTTCTTAGTGGTCTTGATGATTTCAAATACTG